TATATATTTTTTGAGATGGAGCTTTGGAATGCAGTGGCGTGATCTTGGCTCACTGCAACCTCTGCCTCCTGAATTCAAGCAATCCTCCTGTCTCAGCCTCCCAAGTAGCTGGGATTAGAGACGTGTGCCACCATGCCTGGCTGATTTTGTATTTTTAGTAGAGACGGGGTTTTTCCACGTTAGTCAGGCTGGCCTCGAACTCCCGACCTCAGGTGATCTGCCCACCTTAGCCTTTCAAAGTGCTGGGATTACAGGTGTGAGCCACCACACCTGGCCCTAATTTTTTGTATCTCTTTGTAGAGACAGGATCTCACTTTAATCCTATCTAGTATATGTTTTCATCTCAGATATTTTAGCTTTCATCTCTAGAAGGTCAAGCGATCTGCCCACCTCAGCCTCCCAGAGTGCTGGGATTATATGTGTGAGCTACGATGCCTGGCCTCCCTTAAGAGTTCTATTGGATTGTTTCCACATCTGTCTCATCATATATAATAATTTTATTGCTCATTCATTTATAGATTTTTTTTTTTTGAGACAGAATTTCACTCTTGTCACCCAGGCTAGAGTGCAATGGCATAATGACGGTTCACTGTAACGTCTGCCTCCCATGTTCAAGCGATTCTCCAGCCCCAGCCTCCTGAGTATCTGAGATTACAGGCATGCATCACTATACCTGGCTAATTTTGTGTTTTTAGTAGATATGCGATATCACCATGTTGGCCAAGCTGGTCTTAAACTCCTAATCTCAGGTGATCTGCCCGCCTTGGCCTCCCAAAATGCTGAGATTATTGGTGTGAGCCACTGCGCCCAGCCCATTTTTAGATTCTGTCTTTTATTTCTCAAACATTTCATGCATAGTCTTATATTCTAGTTCTGATAACTAGTAAATGAAGACTTTTACTATCTAAATCTGCTCTTGGTTGTTTCTTCTGAGTCATATTCATGATGGTTTATTTACATTAACATTTTGCAGTCTTTGCTTGTGGAGCTCATATTTGGCTGACATTAGCCATGGCATCCTCAGGACATGAATCCAGGACACTTTCCAGAAAAGATGATTTGCATGTGCCCCCTTCTGGAATCTGGGATTCATGCAGTAGTCCTACACTTGCCCATGTTTCCCACTTTGGAGTGAGCCCAAGGCTTAGTCTCAGGTTCTCAGTGTTGGTATTTTTCCTGGAGACAACCCTGACCTTGGGCTTGCTTATTGCTTACAACTCCCACTCCATTCTAACTTACTATTTTTTGTTTGTTCTTTTGTTTTTCATCCCTAGAGACTTCTGTTTCTTCCTGTAAGCTCAGTGATGCTTCGAAAAGTATGCTCTCTTATGGATCTAGTTTGTAGATTGCACGAACTAGATTGTAACGGGAAGGTCCTTCAGAGTATTTAGTTCCCATATTGTTAGGAGGTGGAAATCCTAAAGATGATGTTTTTTAAATTGATACTTTCCAGTATATGAGTTGCATCTTGAGGTGATAAACCCCCTGTCACTTTCAGCCTTTAAGCAAGGGCTGGATAATTCTGTCAGTGGAATTAAAGATTAAATAAATGAAATTAAAAAAACACAAGGTCTTATTTTTGTTTTACATCTCACATATGATATTCCAAATCACTAGGGCTCTGGTTACAATTATCTATAGTTGCTCACTCACTTGTATGGCATGGCAGGAAACCATAGCCTAGATTCCTTTTTTTTCTAGATTGTTCATCTCACCTGTCTTTTGGAATGTATGTTTACTATTTCATTCCCTAACATTACTTTCTCTCTTGCATATTTTCTGTCTTTTTTCCCTTTCCTTCTGTATGATAGCTTATTTCTCTTATTTTACTTCTTTCAATAGCATTGGGAGCCATTGAAATCTCCATGGATACATTGAAAAGTTTTTGGTTTCTGGTTACATGGATAAGTTCTTCAGTAGTGATTTCTGAGATTTTGGTATAGCTGTGATATGGTTTGGCTGTGTCCCCACCCAAATCTTATCTTGTATTGTAGTTGCCATAATCTCCACATGTTGTGGGAGGGACCAGGTAGAGATGGTTAGTCATGAAGGCGGTTTCCCCCATTCTGTTCTTGTGATAGTGAGTTAATTCTCATGAGATCTGATGGTTTTATTTGTTTATTTATTTATTTTTGAGATGGAGTCTCACTCTGTTGCCCAGGCTGGAGTGCAGTGGAGCGATCTCAGCTCACTGCCACCTCTGCCTTCTGGGTGATTCTCCTGCCTCAGCCTCCCAAGTAGCTGGGATTACAGGCATGTACTACCATGACTAGCTAATTTTTGTATTTTTAGTAGAGACAGGGTTTCACCTTGTTGGCCAGGCTGGCCTCAAACTCCTGACCTCAGGCGATCCGCCTGTGTTGGCCTCCCAAAGGGCTGGGATTATAGGTGTGAGTCACTGTGCCTGGCCAGAGATCTGATAGTTTTATAAGGGCTTCTTCCTTTGCTGGGTTTTCATTTTTCTTCTTCCTGCTACCGTGTTAAGAAGGACATGTTTGCTTTCCTTTCTGCCATGATTGTAAGTTTCCTGACGCCTCCCAGCTCTGTGGAACTGTGAGTCAATTAAATATCTTTCCTTTGTAATTTACTCAGTCTTGGGTATATCTTTATAGCAGTATGAGAATGGACTAATACAGCTGATCACCTGCTGAGCAGTGTACACTGTACCCAATATGTAGTCTTTTATTCCTCACCCCTCTCCCAACCTTCCCTCTCAGTTGCCAGAGTCTATTATATTATTCTTATGCCTTTGCATCCTCATAGCTTAGCTCCCACTTACAAGTGAGAACATACGATATTTGGCTTTCCATTCCTGAGTTACTTCACTTAGAATAATGGTCTCGCCATCCTGGCTAACAAGGTGAAACCCTGTCTCCACTAAAAATACAAAAAATTAGCCAGGCGTGGTGGCACATACCTATAGTCCCAGCTACTCGGGAGGCTGAGGCTGGAGAATTGCTTGAACCCGGGAGGTGGAGGTTGCAGTGAGCTGAGATCACACCGCTGCACTCCAGCCTGGGTGACACAGTAAGACTAGGTATAAAAAAAAAAAAAAGAATAATGGTCTCAAATTCCATCCAAGTTGCTGCAAATGCCATTATTTCATTTTATAGCTATTCCATAGTGTGTATATACCACATTTTCTTTATCCACTTGTTGTTTGATGGACATTTAGGTTGGTTCCATATTTTTGTAGTTGCAAATTGTGCTACTGTAAACATGCATGTGACTTTTTCTTTTTTTTTTTTTTTTTGAGATGGAGTTTCGCTCTTGTTACCCAGGCTGGAGTGCAATGGCGCGATCTCGGCTCACTGCAACCTCCGCCTCCTGGGTTCAGGCAATTCTCCTGCCTCAGCCTCCTGAGTAGCGGGGATTACAGGCACGCGCCACCATACCCAGCTAATTTTTTGTATTTTTAGTAGAGACGGGGTTTCACCATGTTGACCAGGATGGTCTTGATCTCTTGACCTCGCGATCCACCCGCCTCGGCCTCCCAAAGTGCTGGGATTACAGGCGTGAGCCACCGCGCCCGGCCCGCATGTGACTTTTTCAGGTAATGACTTATTTTCCTCTGGGTAGATACCCAGTAGCGGGATTGCTAGATCAAATGATAGTTCTCCTTTTAGTTCTTTAAGGAATCTCCATACTGTTTTCCATAGTAGTTGTACTAGTTTACATTCCTACCGGCAGTGTAAAAGTGTTCTCTTTTCACCACATCCATGCTGACATTTATTATTTTTTGATTTTTAAAATTATGGCCATTCTTGTAGTAGTAAGGTGATATCTCATTGTGGTTTTAGATTGCATTTTCCTGATAATTAGTGATGTTGAGCATTTTTTTCATGTTTGTTGGCTGTTTGTATATCTTCTTTTGAGGTCTGTCTATTAATGTCCTTTGCCCACTTTTTGGTGAAATTATTTGTTTTTTGTCTTGCTGATTTGTTGGAATTCACTGTAGATTCTGGGTACTAGCTCTTTGCCTGAGGCATAGTTTATGAGTATTGTCTCCCTGTCTATGGGTTGTCTGTTTACTCTGCTGATGATTTCTTTTGCTGTGCAGAAGAAGCTTTTTAGTTTAATTACGTCCCATCTATTTATGTTTATTTTTGTTGCATTTGCTTTTGGGTTCTTGGTTACCAATTCTTTGCCTAAGCCAATGTCTAGAAGAATTTTTCTGATGTTATCTTCTAGAATTTTTATGGTTTCAGGTCTTAGATTTAAGTCTTTGATCCATCTTGAGTTGATTTTTGTGTAAGGTGAGAGATGAGGATCCAGTGTCATTCTTCTACATGTGTCTTGCCAATTATCCCAGCACCATTTGTTGAATAGGGTGTCTTTTTCCTACATTGTGTTTTTTGTATGCTTTGTCAAAGATCGGTTGGCTGTAAGTATCTGACTTTATTTCTGGGTCCTCTAGTCAGTTCTGTTGGTCTATGTCCCTATTTTTCTACCAGCACCATGCTGTTTTGATAACTATAGCCTTGTAGTATAGTTTGAAGTTGGGTAATGTGATGTCTCCAGATTTGTTCTTTTTGCTTAGTATTTCTTTGGCTATGTGGGCTCTTTTTTGGTTCCATATGAATTTTAGGATTTTTTTTTCCCATTACTGTGAAGAATGATGATGGTATTTTTGATGGGAATTGCATGGAATGTGTAGATTGAGTTTGGTAGTATGGTCATTTTCACAATATTGACTCTACTCATCTGTGAACATGGGATGTGTTTCCATTTGTTTGTGTCATATGCAATGTTTTTTTGGCAGTGTTTTTTAGTTAGTTTTCTTTGTAGAGATCTTTCATCTCATTGGTTAAGTATATTCCTAAGTATTTTCTTTTCTTTTTTTTTGTAGCTGTTGTCAAAGGGGTTGATTTCTTGATGTGATTCTCAGCTTAGTTTTCTTGGTATATACCAGTGCTACTGATTTGCATACACTGATTCTGTAAGCTGAGAATTTACTGAATTCAGTTATCAGATATAGGAGCTTTTTGTTGTTTTTCATGCAGAGAGAGGTATGTGCAAATGCTTGACCAGATTGCCCGGCAGATGATTGATTTCTACAAAGACTTGGTAACTCAGCGAGTGATGGACCAGCGCATTTTAGAAGAATTGTATAATTTCAAGCATGTTATTGAAGAACTGACCAGGTAAAAATTGTGATTATCTTAAACACAAAACAAGAGTCAATATCATGTCTTTAAAGGGAGTAAAAAATATTTAGGGAAATTGGAATGGTTAAAGGTCAAAGTTCTTCTGTTTTCATGTTTAGCAAGAGAACAAACAGGACTAGATATCATTGTAGATAGAGATATAGAGAAATGGGTTATGCAAGTTCACACAAAAATGAAGATTCTTTATATATTTGACATAGAAAAGACTTGCTCTTTCTTCTAAAATACAGATGTTACCAGGCACAGTGGCTCATGCCTGTAATCCCAGCACTTCAGGAGGCTAAGGTGAGTGGATCACTTGAGGTCAGGAGTTCGAGACCAGCCTGGCCAACATGGTGAAATTCCATCTGTACTAAAAATACAAAAAATTAGCCGGGCATGGTAGCTCATGCCTATAATCCCAACGACTGGGGAGGTTGAGGCAGGAGAATTGCTTGAACCTGGGAGGTTGCAGTGAGCCGAGATTGCGCCACTGCACTCTAGCCTGGGTGACAGAGCAAGACCCTGCCTCAAAAAACAAAAATAAAAATAAAGTAAAATACAGATGTTTACCTTAGTCAGTTTATAGAACAATGCCATGATTATGGATATTGAGGTTCACATCTCAAAGAAAGTAAGTACCATAAAGCCCTCAAAGTTAGTAATCATCTAATGTCTAACCTTAAAGCAAGATGATTAGTGGTGAGAATAAAGAAGGTAGGATAGGCGTATCAGAAAGTGGGGTCAACCAGCATGGAGGCCTTGCATGTCCACATCTGCCTCCCTCTATTCTAAAGGATCTCCCCTACATCTTCTTTCTGCCTGATTTCTGCCCACCTGATTCTATTTCCAAACCTGGCAAAATTCCATCTAGAATGTATACTCAATTTCTTGGTTTGGTTTATAAGGTGGAAAAACTAGGAAGGGAAGTACGCATGATAACTGAGAAGATTCCTGAGTATAAATCTGATTTCCTGGGTAGAAACTTCTTGGAAGTCTCCAAATATGAATTTAAAATTTCTTTGCTTTATTCCAGGGAACTGTGTCTAGTTCAGGCACATGATGTAAAATTAACAAAGGAAACAGAAAAGGCCCACAAGGATTTGGCACAAGCTCTTTTAGATGCTGAAAAGAATGCCCGGTGAGTTGCTTAAAGTTATGTAGCTTACATAGGGGAAAGAGAAGCTTATATACTTTCTGAAGTAATGCATATGACACTAACTTACTGAATTCTAAAAACACTTATAGCTTACTTTATCTGATTTTAGTTGATTTCTCATTCTGGGTGGAAAGAAGGTAAAGCATGATTTTTCTCTTGGAAATAGACTGTTGCTTTCAACATTAATCATTTTTGTTGAGTGAGGATTGCAGGCTATTACTTTCTCATTTTCTACAAGAAAATATAAAAAGGCAGTGTGCATAGATAGCATAGATTTTGGAACCATACTGGTTGCTGTGTGACCTTGGGGAAGTCACTTAACTTTTCTGGGCGTAAGTTTGCCCATATTTAAAACCGGGATAATAATATTATCTACCTCATAGGGCTATTATGAGTATTAAAGGAAGTAATATAAGTAAAGCACTTGGAATGGTACAGTTCCTTTGTGTCCAGGAGTATGTCTATTTCTTCTAGGTATTCCAATTTGCTAGTCGATTGTTGTTCATGATTGTATTTCAGTGTAATACCTATTTTTTTGTGTTTCTGATTTTATTTGCTTGAGCCATCTCTCTTTTTTTTCTTGGGTAATCTAGCTAGACATTTATTCATTTTATTTTTTCAAAAAATGAACTTTTTATTTTGTTGATCTTTTGCATTTTTTTAGTCTCTCTTTTATTTGTTTCTGTTCTGACATTCATGACTTGTTTTTTTTCTACTAATTTTGGGTTTTGTTTGTTCTTGCTTTTCTAGTTCCTTGAGGTACATCATTAGGTTGTCTATTTGAAATCTTTCTGCTTTTTTGATAGAGGTGGTTATTACTATGAACTTCCCTCCTAGCACTGCTTTTGCATTATCCCATAGGCCTGTGCTTCATTTGTTTCAAGACATTAAAAAATTTATTTACTGACCCAGTGATCATTCATTTGCATGTTGTTTAACTTCCACATGTTTGTACAGTTTCCAAAGTGTCTCTTGTTATTAATTTCTAGTTTTACTTCATTGTGGTCTGAGAAGATACTTGGTATGTTTCCAGTTTTTAAAAATTTGTTGAGACTCATTTTGTCGCCTAGCATATTGCCATTTGTGGAGAATGTTTCATGTGCTGATGAGAAGAATGTGTATTCTGCAGCTGTTGGATAAAATGTTTTGTAAATTCCTGTTATGTCCATTTGTTCCAAAGTGTGACTTAAATCCAATGTTTCTTTGTTAATGTTCTGTCTAGATGATCTTTTGAATGCTGAGAGTAGGGTTTTGAAGGTCCCAACTATTGCATTACATTTCATCTCTCCCTTTAGATCTAATAATGTTTGCTTTATACATCTGGGTACTCCAGGGTTGGGTGCATATATATTTAGAGTTGTTATATTTTTTTTCTGAATTGATCACTTTGTCTTCATATAATGACCTTCTTTGTCTCTTTTTATAGATTTTGACTTAAAATCTGCTTTATCTGGTACAAGTATAGGTACTCCTGCTTGCTTTGGTTTCTATCTGCATAGAATGTCTTTTTCCATCTCTTCACTTTTAGGCTATATATGTTTTGGCAAGCGAAGTGAGTTTTTTGGAGGCAGCATATCTTTATGTTGTGTTTTTGTATCCATTCAGCCAATCTATACATTTTACGTGGGAGAATTTAATTTTTTTATATTTAAGGTTATTATTGATAGGTGAGGACTTATTCCTGTCATTTTGTTAATTATATTGTGATTATTTTGTATAGCTTTTTTTCCTTTCTTCTTATTGTTTATCATTTCTGTTTGGTAATTTTATATAGCGGAAACATTTGAATCCTTTCTTTTTCTCTTTTGTGTTTCTGCTCTACCAGTGAGATTTTTTTACTTTGATGTGTTTACATGATGGTAGGTATTGTCTTTTTGCTTCCAAATATAGGACTCCTTTAAGGCTGGTCTGGTGGTGATAAATTTTTTCAGTTTTTGCTTATCTGAGAAAGAGATTTTTTGTCCTTCAGTTTTGAAGGATGGCTTTGCTAGGTATAGAATTCTTGGCTAGCAGTTTTTTTTTCCTTTTAGCATTTTGAATATATAATTCCATCTTTTCCTGGCCTAAGGTTTCTGCTGAGAAATCCATTAGTCTGATGTGGATTCCCTTATATGTAACTTGATGCGTTTCTCTTGCTGTTTTTAGGATTCTCCCTTTGTCCCTGACTTTTGACAGTTTAACTATAATATGCCTCAGAAAATATCTTTGTGGGTTGATTATATTGGGGATCTTTGAGCTTCCTGTATCTGGATGTCTTTATCTCTTGTAAGATTTGGGAATTTTTAAGCTATTATTTTGTTAAATAGGTTTTCTGTGTCTTTGTCTACCTCTTTTCTTTCTGAAACTCCCCAAATTAAAAAAATGTGGTCACTTTACTGTGTCCCATTATAGCTACATAAGCTTTCTTTATTGTTTTTAATTCTTTTCTCTTTCTTCTTTATTAAAGTCTGACTAGGTTTTTTCAAAAGACCTGTCTTCAAGGTCAGAAATTCCTTCTTCTACTTGATCTAGTCTATTGTTTAAGCTCTTAAGCGTATTTTTAATTTCATTTATTGAATTCTTCAATTCCAGGGTTTCTATTTCATTCCTTTTTATGATACCTATCTCTGTTGAATTTCTCATCCAGATCATGAATTGTTTTTCTGATTTATTTGTGTTCTTTATCTGTGTTTTCTTGTATCTCATTGAGTTTATTTAATATAATTATTCTGAAATCTTTTTCAGACATTTTATAAATTTCCTTTTTGTTGAGATTTGTTACTAGAGAATTATTTTTTATGTTTCCTGTGTTCTTACACTACTATCTATGCATCTGATTTAATAGCCATTTTTTTCCAATTTTACAAAAATTTCTTTTTTCTTTTTGAGACAGAGTCTCACTCTGATACCCAGGCTGGAGTGCAGTGATGTGATTTTGGCTCACTGCAACCTCTGCCTCCTGAGTTCAAGCTATTCTCCTGCCTCATCCTCCCAAGTAGCTGGGACTATAGGCATATGCCACCATATCTGGTGAATTTTTGTATTTTTAGTAGAGGTGGGGTTTTGCCATGTTGGGCAGGCTGGTCTTGAACTCCTGACCTCAAGTGATCTTGCCTTGGCCTCCCAAAGTACTAGGATTACAGGCATGAGCCACCATGCCTGGCTAATTTTATGAAAAATTCCTTATAGAGATGGGATTCACTGTGTCACCCAGGCTGGAGTGCAGTTGCATGATCATGGCTCACTGCACCCTTGACTTCCATGCTCAAGCAATCCGTCCACATCAACCTACTGAGTAGCTGGAACTACAGGTACACATTAGAGTGCCTGATGCCTGCCTAATTTTTTTTTTTTTCCTGAAACATGGTCTTACCATATTGCTTAGGCTAGTCTCAAACTCTTGGGTTCAAATAATCCTCCTGCCTTGTCTCCTAAAGTGTGTTTTGTTCTTTTCATTTCTTTTCTTTCTTTCTTTGCAAAAAATGACATTGGTATTTTGATAGGGGTTGTGTTGAATTTGTAGATTGCTTGGGCAATATGTTCATTTTAATGATATAAATTATTCTGATCCAGAAGCATGGTATGGCTTTCAGTTTATTTGTGTCTCTTCAATTTCTTTCATCAGTGTTTTGAAGTTTTTTTTGTAGATATTTTTCACTTTCTTGATTAAATTTATTCCTAGATGTCCTTTGTTGGTAGCTATTATGAATGGGATGGCTTTCTTGATTTCTTTTCTACTGTTTCATTGTTGGTGTTTAGAAACACTGCTGATTTTTCTATGTTGATTTTGTATCCTGCAACTTTACTGAATTTGTATATCAATTCTAAGAGTGTTTTGATGCCACTTTTAGGTTTGTTTGTTTTTTAAATATATAAGATCTTGCTGTCTGCAAACAGGAACAATTTGACTTCCTTCTTTCCAATTTGGTTGCCCTTTATTTCTTTCACGTGCCAAATTACTCAGGCTAGAACTTTCTGTATGTATTTTTTTTTTTTTAAACAAAAATAAGATCAAACAATTTATAATTTTAGCATTTCAGATATTTCCTTTTATATTATAGCATGAAGAAATTTCCCATTTATGAAAGTGTTAAGAATATGTTTGGCCAGGTGTAGTGGCCCACATCTGTAATCCCAGCACTTTGGGAGGCCGAGATGAGCGGATCACTTCAGGTCAGGAGTTTGAGACCATTCTGGCCAACATGGCGAAACCCCGTCTCTACTAAAAACACAAAAATTAGCCAGGTGTGGAGGTTGCAGTGAGCCGAGATTGCACCATTGCACTCCAGCCTGGGGGACAAGAGTGAAACTTAATTTCAAAAAAAAAAAA